TGGCTACTATTTACGTTTGTAGATAGTCGTTTTTTGTCTATTAATAATAAAATTTTCTGCTATTCATTCATTTTTCACATATTTTCCGTCATGTTAAAATTTGCTTATCTGTGTTTCTTTCTATACTGTTTCTTATAGCTTTCTGTATTATTATTATTATTATTATTCTGCATATTATTATATAAATAATGTATATAAATAATGTTAAGTTAGGTCTTCATTCCTTTGTTTGTATGTTTTTTAATCGTATTTCTACTTTAACAACAACTGGGATGTGGTCAGATCCAACATAAACTCCGGGATACGTTTTACTCATTCAATCTTCTGTATCGGGAGTCTATCAATATGTAATCTGTTTGGAACCTTATAATGTTCTGTTTATCTCAAAGGCTCTTCAGGTATAAAGTCTTCTTTTTGACAGCGGAACCAAGTGTTTGCTACCATCATTTTGAGTTATTGGCAGAATAATTATATAATCCTTAGGGCCGGTTCTACAATGCTAGTATATACTGAGAATAAAGTTATACTTGGAATAACTTCATTAAGGGTGTTCTACAAACAAAGAATAAACTAGGAATAAGATAATCGGAGTATATCTGTAGAATAACTGTATCCCTCCAAAGTTTAGCAGATATACCGAGTATAAATTTATACTGCATTTCTATTGGTAGGTCAGGGGTTGTCAAATCTGTAATATTTTAACCTCACTTTGTTTGTTTTTATATATAAAATAAAATTTTTGATATTGCACAAACATTTTAGATTGTGAATCCAAAGGAAATTTTATTAGGCAATCCAAAGGAAAAAGAAAGCATCTATTATTTCAATTCTAAAATTTTAGGATATGTATGTAATGTAATAACGTCTACACATATGACTAGTATACCTAGTATAGATATAATCTTACCAAGTCAATATATTTTTTAATGTTTTGATAACAGAGACTGTAATTCTAGAATCTGTATTATATAAACATTTCTTTAACTAAAATTATTTATTTTGTAATCCAATATTTATACTTTTTTAAAATGTGGAGTATACCTATATAGATATATTTACATAATTTTGGTTATTATATTATAACACTAATCTCAGTTGATGATAACAAAAAATTTAAGAAGGAAATTTTACATCTTTTTTTATCCATTTTATATTAATTTTTAAAAGTATAATAATATAAACGTAAATAAAATACCAGATAAAGCGAATCAATTATTCAATTCCTTTCAATTGTAAACAAATTTTACAGTTATGACAAATGCCAAATGTCGCTGTCAATAACAATTTGAACTAATTTTGAAGACATCAGATCTACTATTTCGTTTTACCTTAGTGTTCTGTGGTTATACCCAGAATAACTATTCCGCTGTCAATTTCACAATGTAGAACGCTCGAAAGGTTATACTTGGAATAAACTCAAGTATAAGTTATACTCAGAATAACTATTCTCCAATTTATACCTGGAATGTAGAACCGGCCCTTAAACAAGTAAATTTTATTAAAAAAATATATATTTAACAAAATCCTTAATAAAAGGTTTATATCTATCTATATATAAAAGGCTAGGACGACAAGTCACAAGAAACGTTTATTTAATAACACTAATCATATTAATTACAGTTAATATAATTATTTAAAGTATTAATTTTTTCGCAAAATTGCCAAAAATATTGCTTGCAGTAATTTTAAAATAATGTTTAGTAAACGAGATAATTTAAAGCTTTATGCTAGTTTAGATTTAAACCCCACCTAGGAAAGAATTCTGAACAACCAACTGACAGATAAAATTAATTAAACTTATCTGACAAATAAAATGTGAAATATCTATTTATCTAATAAATTTCCGAATAAAAAATTATCTGGAAAATAAAATGTGTTTATTGTGTTAAAAAATATCACAATTCTTCAGTGTAACCTACTAATCGTTCAGATTATTTATAAAAGCATTGACACTCAACATTGATAACACACGTTAAAATATAAAATCATGGACAAAGTACATTCTAAAATTTTTAAAATTTTGGGTAAAGATAGTAAAACTTAGATTATGGCATATTTTACTGGTGTGTTTTAACTCATATGCACAGAGAACAGAACGTAAAAACAGTGTAATTAACAAGTTATTATGTGTACTTGATGTTATCTTTCTTTTCAAGAAATACTAGAGGCCTATCTTAGGTGATTATCAACATCTTATACATACAGTGTAATTTATGTACAGGTAAATATTTATTTTATTTTTGATGTTTTCTAGTAAATAATAATAAATGTTGCTTAGTTTATCTATGTCAGACTTTTTATTGATGAAAGATGTGCTAGATTTTAAGAAGCACATTTCCAAAAAAACACGTTTTGAATGGTTCTTTTCTTTTGCCAAAATACAGGAATCGTCAAAATTGAATTCATGTTTCTGTGTTAATGAATGTTCTGTCAATGCACACGCATTGATTTTTTTGGTTTTTATATCACTATGATGTGATATCACCCTGCTGTGAAAATTAGGAGATGATTCTCCTATGTAAATTTTATTAGGGTAAACTGTGCAAATACCGGTCAGTGGGTAATGGCGGTCATCCCGATTGTGCGAAATCTATTCAATCTGGCAACCTCCTATAACTGCCAACGTGTCGCTACACTACTCTGTATTCAGATTGCTGACGAGCGTTGAGTTGGCGCAAACCATTGTCATAGAAATATTATTAACCTGTTTTCAGTGTTTTCGATCTTTTTTTATGCTGAGTAATATAAGGCCTTAATTCATTTTTATTCACTTGTAGATCTTAAAATTGGTTACAATTGATTATAATGACGTTAGCTGCCTATTCCTTTTTTAAAGATCAATATTTTAATACATGTTTACGAGTAAAAAATTCTAAGAAAAAAAATGCCAACAGGAGGCAATGCCGGTCAGTTGACCGGTATTACCCCCATGCTATAATTTATACCCTATATTATTAATCCTTAGGGATTAGTCCATCAATTTTTCGACATTGCAAGAAAGAATAAAAAATAAAAATCTTCAAGGTGTCTCATTAGGTAGAAAATCAGTATTTGCTGCCGAACAAGAAGCTAAAATAGCCACACAAAAAAATTTAGCTTAATTTTTTATGGCCTAACAGCAATAGAACTGAGAAAATTAGCATTTGGGTTTACAAGATAATTTTTCTTGTAATAAAACACCTTTTTCTTGTAATTGGCATTACAAGAAAAAGGTGTTTGATTCTAGTTCCTTGGAATCGGATATTGATATATCATGTGATAACAGTGACGATGCATACGAAGATAGATGCCTGGTTTACAGCGAGTTTGGCAAAAACAATGAATTGTGGTATATATTTACCGTTTGCTTACGATGGGCTTATTCAGAGTGCAGTGGATGGGATTCTGCAGAGAGTTATACCTGCGATGACTGTCAACTATTTTTACATTAAAACACATATTTTGTTATTTTTTGTTTGTTTTGTAATAAAAAATATTTTTTCACCTTTCTTACTGATTTACTTGAATTATGACCCATTAAGCCACATTCGTTAATCGTTTTATAACAAAAAAATGTTAAATAGATATTGATTTTTATTTTAATAATAACACAAACAAATTGACTGGCATTACCCACACTCATGACCGGTATTCTCCATGTATGGTGACAATACCGGTCAAAGATACTTTTTTATGTTTTGTCTCTGCCAAAGACAAAAATTTTATATTTTTGAAATTAAATGTATCTTGCAATAAGTTAAAACCTCAAATTACGGATTGACGGCTTAAATTTGATTCACAGAGTTTTACTTTTTTTTAATTAAATTGTCTTCTTAGGTGACCGCGATTTGCACACTTTACCCTACAAATAGTACACGGTATTGTACCATTTATGGTACAATATACATGTTACATATGTTACAGGAGTCATCAAATGTTACATATTGTAACATTTGATGACTCCTGTATTGTGAAAGGATCTTTTATTTTTGTATATAGCTTCGACACAGTTTTCACATTTTTGGTTGTAATTTTTATTATTATATTTTTGGTTGTAATGTTAGTGGCTTAAGACTCAGAGTAAGTATACAAAATATCCTGAGTATAGTACGAAATTTCCAAAACTTTCAATAAATCTTCTATAGCAAGGCTTCCCAAACTGTGTGTCGCGTGTCAATGTAAACTTTTAATACAGAAAATAATTTATTTGATTTTAAATAAGTATAAAATATATCTATTAATAAATAAATCAAATAAAAAATATAACATCAAGTCGATAAAACCTTGAATTATCCGAAATTATTCAAAACATCGTTCAATCCAAGAAAAATTATCCGATGGTCCACGAAATTATGCGAAAATCGGATAATTATCCGGACATTGGTAACACTGGAATCGAGTGAGTTTTTTGCTGTCAACAATGGATCTTCTTCTTCAGGTGCCATCTCCGCTACGGAGGTTGGCAATCATCATAGCTATCTTAATTTTTGAGGCAGTAGCTCTAAATAGTTGTTTTGAGCTGCATCCAAACCATTCTCTCAGGTTCTTCAGCCATGAAATTCGTCTTCTTCCGATGCTTCTTCTGCCATCTACAATGGATACTTATATTCAAAAGAATAGCAAACAAAGTGAAGAATCAGGCGAGAGCAGTAAGGTTAATTTAAGTAAGAAGAAAAAATATAGCAAACATGACGACTTATATTTGGATTTATCTGCGTTAATAAGGAGAATTTAGAACTTCCACAATGTGTTGTTTGTCAGAAAGTATTGGCGGTGAAAGTATGCTTCCTAATAAACTAAAACGGCGCTTGAAATCAACTCACAGTCATTTAAAAGTTAAGCCAAGAGACTTTTTTATAAGAAAATTGCGAGAACTAAAACATTAGACCACGGCTTTTGTTTCAAGAGCATCATTTCCTACCAAAGCAGTGCTCGCTTCTTACTAGGTAGCTAACCGTTTTACCAAGAGTAAAAAACCACGTACGATCGCTAAAGCACTGATCTTACCTGCACCGGTTAATATGGTAACAGTGATGATTGGAGAATCGGCAGCTAAAGAAATAAAAAATGTACCTATTTCAAACAATATGGTTACTGGACGGATTCACGATATGGCAAAAGCTATTAATGAACAAATTGTGGGAAAACTTTCAGGTTTATTTGCCATTCAACTGGACGAGGCTACTAATAGTAATGATGATGTTCAATTGATATGTTATATACGGTACATACAAGAAACAAATGTAGGTGAGGATTTGTTATTTTGCAGAAAAATATGTGTAAGTTGTGAAGATACTGATTTATTCGAGATTTTAAACTCATATATGACTAAAAATAATATTAACTGGGATAACCGTATAGGCGTGTGTACGGATGGTGCCCGAGGGATGTCTAGGTATTATGGAGGACTACAAGCTCTCATCAAATCAAGGCACCAAGTGTAAAATGGACACCTTGTGCCATTCATAGAAAGGCCTTAGCAGTAAAGAACGTTACACCTGCATTAAGTGTTGTGATGGATAGCAAAATTCAAGTGGTGAACTACATTAAAACACGACCCGTGAAATCAAGACTTTTCCATAAACTTTGTTTAAAAATGTGGGCCGAGCACACTTCTTTAATTTATTATTGCAATTCTCGTTGGCTATCCAAAGGCAACGTACTTGCAGATGTATACGAATTCTTCTTCTTTCAGTGCCTATTCGTTCCGAATATTGGCAATCATTCTGGCTATAATTATTTTATTGACTGATGCTTTAAATAGATTTGTTGTTGTTGTGGAGAACCATTTCCTCAGGTTCTTCAACCATGATATTCTCCTTCTCCCAATTCCTCGCTTTCCGAATACTTTACCCTGTAGGATTACCTTCAGTAATCTGTATTTAGTGCTGTTTCTCATTATATGTCCGAGATATTCCAACTTTCTCTTTTTAATGGTATACATCACCTCTCTTTCTTTGCCCACGAAATATATATAGTATACGAATTAATAAATGAATTTTACAGGTATCTACATACAGAATCAAATGAAGGTGTGCAAAAATTTATTAATTTAGAGTTTATAATAAAATTAGCATACGTCTGTGACATATTTAACAAATTAAATGATCTTAATAAGTCTTTGCAGAGAAATAATACTCATATACTGCAATTGACAGATAAAATTGCTGGGTTTCATAAGAAGTTGCTCTTAAGAAAGAGAAAATTAGAATATCAAGAAATTGACTGTTTCCCTGCTGTACAAGGTATTTTACAAAAAAAAATCAATAGAAATCCTTCATCCCTCTTTAAAAAATATGTATACACAACACATGTCATCATTGAGCGAACAGTTTAAGAAATATTTTCCCGAAGATATGGAGCAATATGACTGGGTCAGAAACTCTTTCCTGTCATCCACGCCATCGACACTTTTAACAGAGAAAGAAGAACAACTTAGAGAATTGTCCTGTGATTCCAGCCTAAAGCTTCAATACGACAAGGACAAACTGTTTAAATTTTGGAGCTCACTTTCTCATGAATATCATGCCATCAGCACTGCTGTATTAAAGGTTTTATTATCATTTGCGACTTCGTACTTGTGCGAAACAGGCTTTTCTGCAGTTTCAGTAATTAAAAACAAATGCAGGTCAAAGATAAACCTAGAAAAAGAAATGAGAGTAGCAATTTCTAAACTGGAGTCCCGGTTTCATAAGCTGTGCTCAAAAAAGCAAGCACATACCTCACATTAACCAGCCAGTTACATAAATAAATATCTCTTTTTCTTGTTGTGCCTATGTTTTGGTTTCGTTCTTAATTTCTAATAAAACATATAAATGTTGAAATAGTATTTTTGTTATAACTATAACCTGTTACTAGACTAAACTCTGTTTTTTAACCAGGAGGAGTAAACCAAAAAGACAGATTCACACCCAAGAAAGTTACTAAAAAAGTCACCAAATACATATTTTTTTGTTGTATATCTTGGCCTTGCGGTAAACGAGTACCTTACATACAAGATACAATATCGGACCACCTTACACGTCAATTCTAACCTAACTTTATATATTTTAATATATTTTAATAATATTTTTTTTAATTCACTTCCATCATATATTACAATTATTACAATAAAAAAGGACGTTTTTTACATTTGGTCCCATGTATATATATTTAAATATCGGGTGATCCAGTTTTATAGATCTTTTGAGTCGATGGTACTTAATTTAGAGAATATTTTAATCCAGAGAGTCAATAATGTTACAGATCTAAGTATGGTTTTTTTTCAGAAATTTGTCTTTTAATTTGCAAATAGATCTTATATGCAACAAAGCTATGTAAATGCATATATCAAAAAGTTAGAGAGAGTTCAAAGATTTCTGAAATACTGTTCTTTTTAAACTGCGTAGACCATATTCTTATTCTGGTGTGATTAATTCCTTGAATCTATGTTTTTTTCTTACCAGAAGAATTAACTTTGACTTTGATCATTATTTTAAAGCTTAATAATCCAATCTCCTGAATTGCTTCAGCCAGTTTGTTTTACATATTCCTTCCCATTCACTGCTTTAGAATTGACTTTTTCATGTTTCATATCACAGAATAAATTATGGTTCAAATATAGGTGTGGTCCTACTTTTCATGCATGGTAATCAGTTACCCCATTAGATAGATTTAACTTATGTATCAATATCTTAAGGATCTATTTGAAGTACTAAAATGCAAAACAATAAATTTGTATAAACAAGTGTGTACTTGCAATTTCTTTAATGCTGGATTCTTGTTTAATTTAACAGTGAGTTTGTCACTAGAAAAGAAAAATCAGCTAGAAAAATATCACATTAAATACTATTATCGCATATCACCAAGTCCAAGTTATTACAAAAACAACTTAAAGAGTCAGAAATCGATTTATATAATATTCTGTGCATAATATATATTCGGAATGAATGTAAAAATAAAAGTTTAATAATTTTATTAGTCTTCCAAAATCTCTCCATTTATGTCTTGGTGAGATTAATGAACAACTACACCAGTTTGAATTTCTTGATTTATTTTTTCAGCAAAAACTGAATCTATTTCAGATATTTGAGCAAGAAAATTTTGTTTTTGCTCAGTAGCCCAATGTATAAACTATTCTTTGAATAATTTCCCCTAAAAAATAACTATGGTAAGACATTCATAATATAGACAATAAATCAATCATCCTATAAACAGTAAGATAAACAATCTATAGTTATGCTATGTAATATTTGCTGCATTGAATCTGCATATGTAAAGTAAAAAAATCCTTTTTTTTCCTTTTCTTCCCTTTCCATGTTCTTATATCTTTTGAACCAAAATATTTGACAACATTGCAGTAGAGTATACAAATAAAAACTTAAAACTCATTATTTAATAGTAACAATTATATACCTGATTATAAAAATGAAATCTATAAAATGTTTTAGTTAATTTTACTATATAATTGTAGCTAACTTATATTTACATACCGATATTTGTACTTACTTCAAATTGATTTGCTTAAAGAATTTATATAATAATGAACGACACATATTTTGGAAGATCTGAGCGGTTGTTAATTTCACTTAAAATTTTACCTAAAGTGAGCATTTCATTCTTAAAAAAGAAGCTGTGTACTATCTGTCGTATAGATGTTTTAACGCTTTTATCCTATGTTCCAAGAATATAAGGTCGACCTTCAATATTATTAGGACATTTTACTGCTCCAGTCTGCTTATATTCTTTAATTGTTCTAAATTCTATTGTTGTAAATAGTTGAATTCGCAACACCTAAAATTAGCACATTACTTTAGTAAGTCTTGATTTTAACAATAACTATTTTGTAAAATTAACCTGCTGCCTGTTTTATTTTTACTACCGTGGCTGTTATTTTTATTCCAGAATTATCAATTTTCATGTTTGTACATGTTTATAGTACATTATTTCTCATTTGATGATAAATGATCCAAATATACTCGGCGTTTTTAAGGTGGAGAAGAATAATTACCACTAGTACTTGGCATTGAATCCATATTGTTATCTTAATAATACTAAAATGTCGCTAAATAGTTCTGAAAAGAACTGTTGTTTATATAAATGCAAACGAAAAATCTAAAGATGTAAGAAATAACACAGAAAATTGTCGATATAAATTTTGAATTTTAAAATTTCACAAATGTCATTAGTGTCAATATGTTATAATTTAGTGGAGTAAACTTGCCTGCACTTCGACCAATTACAAACAAGCATTATGGCGCGGAAAATTTGAATTACTCCTCCTGGTTTAAAAACAGACCATAGTACTAAAATTGATAAGTATTATTGGGGGTTGGATTGAGGGGACGTCGCAAAAAACTAGCAAAGTCCCAAGGGCGTCACAGTACGAATAAGTTTGGGAAGCCCTGTTCTATATAATATTATGGAATATTGATTTTAAATTTTGACAATTTCGTGATACTTCTTGGATATGTTGTTCTATTTCTGTATTCTTGAAAAGGCGTTTAAATGCAGATAATAGAAATGGTCGCAATGCGACCAATTTTAGATAATAATGCAATTATGGTTGTAATTTGACCAATCGTAAATTATTTAATTTCGCTCCAGTAGTTTATTAAAAAATGTCTACATGAAGTCTTTGTAACTGGAAATTTATATAATAAAATTACACAAATATACCTGTCGAAAAGGGACAAAAGGAACTTTAACCTTATCCTTTTTTGTCATTCGTCTAAAAAACAGACCCGGCCTACTGTTTTTACGTTATTTTGTGTTAAGGTTTACGTTTTTCTTTTAATTACGACTTATACAATTAGAATACAGTTGTATACAATTAGATTTTTTTTTTAATATTAATTGTAAGACATACAAAAATATCCAAATTTAGATTATAGAGTAATAGACAAAACTCGCAGTTCGTTTATTTATAGCCCGATTAGTTTCTGTAGCAATCCATCCTCACGTTGGCTCCGCACCACTACAAATTTTCAACCTTTGAAAACAACACAAAAACAAACAAAAAATAACCCTGCCTAACACAAGGATCTAAAGACCGAGAGTTTGCTATACAAATTCCACGGCTTCGCGCAATCGTACTTGTAAGTTCGTGAACTAAGTCGACTGGAGTTACAATTGCCAAATTTGAATATAATCGTTTCTACTCATTCATATTAATATTATATATATATATATATATATATATATATATATATATATTATATATATATATATATATAATCCGTTTAAAACGTCCTCCGACGTCTTCCGATGCCCAATCTCCATGCATCTCTATCTTCCCAAAGATCTTCGTCTAAACCTCTCTCTCGGATCTCTCTGTCTATTCCTTCTCTCCAGATCTTTCTGGGTCGGCCTCTTTTTCTCTTTCCATGTGGTGACCAATCTATAATCTGTTTGGGCAGACGATGTTCTGGCATTCTCTGCACATGTCCATACCACTTTAGTTGTT